GCCGGTAGGGAGCCGGTTGCGATCTCCCCCTCGATCTTCCCCTCGAGAAAAAAAGCTAAACGCTGCTCTCGTTCCCGAGCAAAATATGGCGCATGTTGCGTCTCGCGGGACGATCGGGCCCGTTGGCGGGGAACAAACCGAGCAAGAACTTCATTCGCCTCCTCGATATTCTTATTCCTGTCCGCTCGATACGCCATAACGGAACGCGCCACCACCTTCCCCTCCCCGACGTCACCCCGGAACCGGATACGTCACTCGGTGGAGGAAGGGAGGGAAGCGACCGCCGCAACGTGAAATGCGTCGTCGTCGCAACGTTCTTAGCGTAACTGTGGTGGCCGCCTGATTTTTCGAATAAATTCTTCTTCTTCTTCTTCTTCTTATCGGGGAGAGGAAGACGGGATTGGACTACGTTTCCCGGAATTGGCGCCGTCGTCACGCGANCGCGTGATCCGCGGCGAATGCACACAAAAGAGAGTCGCGCGCGCACTCGGATAATGGACGCTCGGCAGATAGATATAAACGGCCGAGTTTTCCGGGAAGGCGAAAGTTATGACACAACTTTCCGTGACGACGAGCATTCGTCAAACGTCTTATCGTTGCGCTGACAAACGAGAAAAGGAACACCAACCTCTCTTACTCGCCTTTCTAAAAATAGCTCGACATCACTCGCGAGAAGAATATAACTTGTTCGCCTTCGAAACGAAAGGCGAAACGTTGGCATTTGTCGGAGAATCGCAAATGTTCCTAATCACCCGGTAACGCGAGGAACGCGGTCGATCTTTCTCGTGACTTTCTCGACGCCGTTCACGATAGAAACATCGGTTTCCGATTTGGCGAATCTTTTTCCTCGATGATTGACGCCGATGATAGGATCGGGTGATGGGAGAAGAAGAGAGAGGGAGGGAGGGAAAGAGAGAGAGAGATGGAATCCCCGCTGCGTGACACTGTCCTGACATTTACAGTTCAAAGGATCGCAGGCAAAGAATATTTGCGCTACTTCGTTAACGACCGCGCAGCTAACCTCCCAAAGTCAAATAAACTGGAAGATCGCGGTCTGTCGATACATCTTTTCCCTGTTGCGCGAATAACGTTACGACGTTATTAATGCAAACACATCGGGTCGTTTGACGAGGCGGGTATCGGTTCGTTTTCGCCGTGCTCCGGCTATTAATATCGCATATGCTCTTGCTTCTTGGTTGGTTTAGAGGAATTGGCGTGGTCAAGAACCAGAGTGGCGAGCGTTTCCGCGTAATTTATTTTCGCTATGATCGATGATCGGCTCGAGGATGATCGAGACTCGAGA